CCTTGAAAATAAAACTCACGGTAACGAGCAAAAGTAGGTATCCGGAAGCAAACTGCATTTTAATTGAGGAATCAGATAAACCCAGCCGAGCTTTACATAGTGGTGTTATGTTTTAGCTGACTCATGGCCCAGATACAGCCTCGTATGTTGAACATTACTCCAAGAACAGCACTTTTTATCCCTCACCATCTCTTCGCAAACTGGACCATCTTCATAATGCGTCATGATTATCTGCACGCTCTAGTAGTCGCGGAATTTTCGTTTGTCAACATATTAACAACAAACGGCTGCTCACGTCCCAGTGACTTGATTCTGTCATTAGTGCATTCACCAACCAAGCCAACTACCAACGTTCAACTGCGGCCGTGAGAACTTGGCCTGAAAATCGAAAGACAAATCATTTCACTAAGAAAGCAAATTTTCAGCCGCTTTCCCGTGTAAATAGGTAGTTCAAAGCTGACGACTTCTAGTGTTTAACTCTTACTGAACTCCGTTCCGTTTTTCGCCGATAAGAAATTACGCCTTTCGTTGCAACTCGTCAGTTAAATGCTGTACTTAATTTTGAGATCTATGCATGATACCCTGTGTGGTGCGCACTTGAGTAGTTTTTCAAGGGCACGGTACAACACTAATGTAATAGGATTTTAAATTATTGGCGTGCAGTGTAAAAATTAAAAGCTGTAACGAAGGTCATTCTCGTTTTGAGGAGTAGCAGTGTCAAAACATCTGCGACGAAGCCAAAGCCGATCGCACTTCAGATTTGCGCACAGACAAACCTGGTGGGCCTAAGTTGTCAAGAATATTTTTACGTACTCACGACATCGATATTATTGAAACGTAGCCGCGTCAAATTCCTGTAGAAAGTTTACTCTGACGAATCAAGTTTCTTCTGTCGATAGAACTTTACCAAACCATTTCGATTAACAGTCCACGAATTTCCACTGATGCCACAGACTTTGAGTGCCCTACCTCCATCCAGCCACATATTAAACCTCTGTCTTTCACGTAGTGTCTTTCGTAGTGTGACGTTTTGCTTACCTCCATGACCCACTGGACCATACTGGATGGTGCTATTGCGGTACTCACAGAGTCCTGAATACCAAGCCGGTCAGTGACCAAAACAGTACCTTGGACACCAGGTTTGCAGTCATAGCTGTATACAGCAGGGCGGGTAAGCCTAAACACGCTGCTGCCGACGTCTCTCTTCTTATACCTTCTCGTTTTCCTTCTTCTACCCTTCCTCAGCCAAGCTCGGACTCTTTCCGCAGGCCCGGCACCAGGACTGCTCGATTTATTCGCGATACATCAAGCTCAGCTGCAGCTTCTGTACGTCTGGTTTCAGTGACAACCACAAACGCTTCAAAGCCTGTCCTCGCACACGCAAAAGTTAAATGCCATTACTATTCGTAAACTGAGACAAGCATGACGGCGTTTACGTGTGTTATCTTCGAAACAAAGATGCAGGACGTAGTATTGTAATAGAACAAACTGACCCGTTTGTGTCTACCAGATTCTGGCTGAGGAAACTAGGTGACACGGAATCTACCTCGCCTTGACATGCATGAAAAGGTATTCACGGATTCAGGGATTGACACACAGGATCAAGGCTTTTGCCCAAGTTTCCTGGGTCGGTTTTGTCCTTTTCGTTCAGCGGGTGCCGTTCACCTGCAAGCCACAAGCGAAGGTATTGGGCAACACAGCGGAAGTTTCCAGTTCACTGGATATTCGTTGATATTCGCCCCCTCTGTGGATCGTTTGGCAACACCTATGGAACAAACCAGGAAGTAAGGCACATCTTTCGCCGCTTTCAGCGTTTACTAAAACAGTTCACTTGTTGAATTATTGCCAAAATTATTTCCAACAATTCGAAAATGCATTTCGTAAAATGCGGAACCGCTGTAAATTGGAAATCCGCCAATGGAACATACGAAAACAAGCCACCACTCTGGACCTCGCTGGAAGAAACAAAGACGTACTGTTGAAATACATGAGACATCGCCGCAGAAACAAGCCATCCGCGTTCTTTTTGAGGGAAAAAAACGGAGGACCGACAAATGACCCAACAGTGGTATCTTAGGTTTACAGAGAACACTATGCCTGTCTATACTCAGCCCCAGCGTCTTCTTCACATCCACCCTTGGCAGGGAGAAACTACAAACAGCCTCTAACCGACTTGCTCTTCACGGTGGAGGACATTCGTCAACTCTTGC